GCTGTTAAAATGTGGAGCACAGCTTTTTTTCATCAGGTGTAACCCAGTAAATTGAATATCTGGGGTTTCTTGCAGTTTGTCAGACTCAAAAAGCAATTTTAAGATGCTAAGTTGCATTTGGGGATCATGTGATGACTGCTCTGACATGTTATACATTAAATACATCATTGTTTAATAAAAGTAATAAATAAATATTGTTCTCAATTCCTCAGACCACTGGTGTAGTAATATCTGTTTTTACTCTGTTCATCTAAAAATTCCAAATATTCATATTTTCACCAGCAGATGCCAAAACACAGCCACGACAGCTGCTGTTCTTCCCCAGACTTTTCAGATCCACCTTTCAAGCCAACAGGAGGCGAGTGTTTAATACTGAAATCTGAAACGGTCAGAGACAACACTGTAGAAGAAGAACCAGCTCCGATTAAGATTATTGCTCACGGCTGCACACTGACTAAAATATTCATGTGTTTTACAACCCACCTGTTAAAAAGAATAAATTATAATTTAATAAAATGACAAAGTACCACCCAAGTGTGATAAACACAGTAAAGCAAGACTTTATTTGTAGACTGATAAACTGATAACATGGGAAAAAACTACACAAGCTCATCAAAAGACATTACAGTTGCTTTGTAAACAATGAAATATTTATGAAAAAAACATGTAAAAACAAAAAATATTTTCCACAGCTTCCAATGTCAGGCCAGTTTCACCAGTCTCTCACTGGCCTCCCACAATTTTTTTGCCACACCAGCGTCTCTTGCAAAAGGACGCAGAGTGGCGGGGCGGGGGCGGGCAAAGGAATCACACCTGGCCAATAACACTGATTCTGATTGTTTTTATGGTCCATTGAAATAAAATTGACTGTTTCTCCACTAGATGGTGCCATTTCTGTGTTTCTGGAGCTAAAGGTAAAGTCCCCTAAAATACTTTGGCCATGTTTTCACTGACACTCGAGTCCTTGACAAAGGAAAAGCATCAAACATTTTCTGGTCCCAGCTTTTAAAATGTGGAGCACAGCTTTTAAAATGTGGAGCACAGCTTTTTTTCATCAGGTGTAACCCAGTAAATTGAATATCTGGGGTTTCTTGCAGTTTGTCAGACTCAAAAAGCAATTTTAAGATGCTAAGTTGCATTTGGGGATCATGTGATGACTGCTCTGACATGTTATACATTAAATACATCATTGTTTAATAAAAGTAATAAATAAATATTGTTCTCAATTCCTCAGACCACTGGTGTAGTAATATCTGTTTTTACTCTGTTCATCTAAAAATTCCAAATATTCATATTTTCACCAGCAGATGCCAAAACACAGCCACGACAGCTGCTGTTCTTCCCCAGACTTTTCAGATCCACCTTTCAAGCCAACAGGAGGTGAGTGTTTAATACTGAAAACTGAAACAGACAGTCCAGTCAGAGACAACACTGTAGAAGAAGAACCAGCTCCGATTAAGATTATTGCTCACGGCTGCACACTGACTAAAATATTCATGTGTTTTACAACCCACCTGTTAAAAAGAATAAATTATAATTTAATAAAATGACAAAGTACCACCCAAGTGTGATAAACACAGTAAAGCAAGACTTTATTTGTAGACTGATAAACTGATAACATGGGAAAAAACTACACAAGCTCATCAAAAGACATTACAGTTGCTTTGTAAACAATGAAATATTTATGAAAAAACATGTAAAAACAAAAAATATTTTCCACAGCTTCCAATGTCAGGCCAGTTTCACCAGTCTCTCACTGGCCTCCCACAGTTTTTTTGCCACACCAGCGTCTCTTGCAAAAGGACGCAGAGTGGCGGGTCGGCAGTCGACAAAGTAACCCCCACTGTGCTTGGCAGCTTCATCTGACACAACACAGTAGATGACAGTCTGAGCTCCAATCTCACATGGCACAAAAAACATCCACATGACCACTTGCATCAGCATCCGGAACAGGATGGAGTAGTGGCACGTCCACCCACTATGGACGAAGCCTGGAGTAACAAGTGTAAACGACAAAAAGTTCATTTCAGAACGTTAGCAATGTATGTCATGTACAGTGGATTAGGGGTGAGGATGATGAATAAGTTCTGCATGGGTAATGTCATAATGTGATGCGAGTATAAATAGCGATTATAGTGTAACATTATCAAATTTCTTTTTCTGGCTATCCCACTGAAGTAAATGCAATATGGCCACAAAGCAGCAAAAAGCAAATCTCTGACTAGGTTAGGTTAGGTTACTTTATTTATACCCGTAGGTAAATTTGTCTTGCAGTCAGATCAAATGACATCCTTGACACATTCACAAAATACAAGAATAAAATACAACAACACATAACATAAAACCTGGCGCCTACACCGAACGTAATAAAAGTACTCAGGGCTCCACCAATCAAGACATAAAAGAAAGAAAACATCCGAAGAAAACCTAAAATTACTTCCAATATATTACTACAGCCTATTTAACTCTATAACAGCAGCAGGGACAAAACTATTTCTATACCGCTGTGTTTTACATCTCGGGACGACAAACCTTCGTCCAGAAGGAAGAAGCCGAAAGTGGCAGTGCAAGGGATGGGAGTCATCATTCAGATTAGAAGTAACTACCTTCTGTACCTGTCTACTGTACAGGCCTGCTAAACCTAACTGTGACTTCCCAAGCAAGCGACTAGACCACTTAATTACTTACTCCAAGGATTTCCTCTATCTTAATGTTATCTGACCAAACCATGACACTAGAGAAAACGATAAAATAGATTCAATATGAGTCTGGGTCTGGCTTTTCATGTGGCTCCTGAACCATTGCTTTCAGTTGCATGGTCAAAGTTTGGTGTGAGGACAGCATCACAGCAGAGGCATAGTGGGTCAGAGGCCTTAAAAAGAAAAACATTGAAAAACTTTATTTCTGGCATTACTGTAATGATAAATGCAAACAGCTATTTTAAGATAGTTTTTATTATGCATTTTGATCTTTATAAAGGGAGGGATATAATAAAACTGATACAGTGCCTTGCGAAAGTATTCGGCCCCCTTGAACTTTGCGACTTAAAGCATTTTATGGCATATATTATGACGGCCCAACTGTAATCTACTGTATATGTCACTTTATTGATACCATGCTTATCTAAAAACAGTTCACAAAAGATTTCATCCAGAACAAGAATTATGGCTGTAACCATTTCCATTATTGATTCATCTGTGATTTTTTTGTAATTCTTATATTTAATAAATATCATTTATTTGACCAACAATTCTAAACCCTAAAACACTAGGGTACTGCAGACGTACAGTAGATACAGTACAGTACAGACCTGAAATAATGTCGGAATCATCTGTGGTGGACAGTGTACACAGACAAACCAAGTAGGGTACAAAAGCAACACACATAGGAAAGGGAGTGGTTGTCTGTACTATAAAATTTCAAGTTCTGCCAGGCAACACTTTGAAGTTCAGAATGTTGCATTATAAGATGTTTGGCTCTTGCAGTGTTAAGGTGCACATCTGCTCTCACTTTCCTACGTGAGGTTCTGTACTTGAGATGAAATGTTAGTTCTTATTAAAGGAAACTTTATTTTTGATTATTTCCCTCTGTGCCAAGCGTAAAGACTCTTACCAGGGTGCACAGCGTAGCAGGTCACTCCTTTCCCTTCAGTGATGCGGGCCAGTTCCTGGCTGAAGTAGATGTTGGCCAGCTTGCTGCGGCAGTAGGTGAAGAAGGGCAGCAGGTTGTAGTTTAGGTCCTGGAAGTCCAGTTTCTGGTATTTGTAGCTGGAGCACGTGAGGGTGACCACCCGGCTGGGGGCACATTCCTTCAGTCGAGGCAGAAGCAGATTGGTCAGGAGGAAGTGACCCAAGTGGTTGACCCCAAAACACATGCTGAAGCCGTCATCCGTCCAGTCAAGGACACTGGGCATGGCTGAAGAAGCAACGCAGAGGGGAGAGGAAGGTCAGAGCAATGAGGTAGAGAAAGTAGTAACACATCAGATTTTAGTTGATGCTGCTTTTCTCCACAAGATCACACACTGAATTTGGTGATATTATTTGATGTATCAAGAGTAGGCTAGTGGTTAAGAGTTCGAATCAGGGTTGCATCAGGAAGGGCACCCGGCATAAAACACGTGCCAAATGTCAACATGCGAGTCGTCGGTGTGACGATTCGCTGTGGCGACCCCTAAATGGGAAAAGCCGAAAGTGACTTTCTATTTGATGTATCAAGAGTCCTCCCTGTAAACTGAAAAAAACTTTGAAAAAAATCAACTGGACTAGATTTCTAGATCGAAGACGTTTCACCTCTCATCCAAGAGGCTTCATCAGTTCT